GTATCCAAAATTATTCAGACACTTCCTCTAATTGAATTTAGCTACTTTAAAGGTGCCATAGAATGCATTTATTCAGTATTTTAAATTGTTCCCTCATGTCTACATAGAAGGTATGTGACTTTGTGCTTACAACCCTATGATTCGGCCCTAAAATGAAACAACATGAAATAATCTGTTGAGCTCTGCTCTGATTGGCTGGTTTACATTGAGGTACTGCGATGGCTCACACAGAAGCAACATGTCTGAATAGACACAGGCTGAAAAATAAAATGAACCTCTGTGTAAATAAACTAGGTCGTCATACTATTTTGTTAGCTATGCTAGTTACTTGGGGTTTGCTAGTAGCTGGCGTTACCTGCTTTTGATCTCGACAACACACACATTATCGAAGCTGCTTATCCTTCTGTGTTGCGAGGGGTGCTGGAGCCTATCCCAGCGGTCACTGGGCAGAAGGCAGCATATAGCCTGGACAGGTCGCTAGTTCACCACAGGGCAGACATACAGACATATACATTCACACCTAGGGGCAATTTAGCATCTCCAATTTTCCTGACAGCATGTATTTGGACTGTGGGAGTTAACAGAAGCTGCCAACCCATGCAGACATGTGGAGAACATGCAAACTCCACACAGAAAGGACTCTGGTCGCCCGTCTGGGGAATCGAACCCAGGCCCTTCTTGCTGTGAGGCGACGGCACCACCCACTCACTATGAAACTTTCAATGTAAGATGATCTGGCTTCAACCATCAAATCTGAATAAACTCACACAGCATGGCTACTTACAGGTTGGAATTGTGATGCTAAAAAAGCTGGAACTGCCCCTCTGCCTCCTCAGTGTCAAAGGCTGAGTGAAGCTGCTCGATATTGTCCAAGGTTTGAGAAACAATCCAGAGTGAAATTTTAAACAGTTTTGAATTAAAGGTGTCCGGGATCCTGTTTACAACACGGGAGCTGAAGGCTTCCTATTTGCCGGTTTGTTTTGCAAATTTTCCTGTTCCACCTTAAATGGTGCTGCAGTTACATTCTGGCACTGAACCTTCTGGCACCCATACAAGCTGTAGCATCTAAGGTGGAATGGAATATTTGACTAAGACTGGTGAATAGAAAGCCAACTTCAGCCTTGTTTAATCCCTTAAATGGCCAGGGCCCACTGATGGGCCTAAAGCTATTATACACTTGTATGTCCTAAGAGTAGCTCAACCAGGTTGCACTAAAGTCCCTGTAGTTACAGAACAGTAACATGTAACGCTGACAGTTCAGTTCTCTGGAAAGGCTATGAAAAGTGCCAACATCCCCTTCACAGCCTGGAATGGGACATTTCTACACATAGTCTGCCATTTTCATTGCTGTTGCTCAGTTGTCCTTGTTTCTTTCTTCACAATACCTGCAGGGTTAGAATGTGAGATTGTGTGTGTAAATTTCTAAGGATTGCTATGTCAGTTCAATAAACCGAACTCTCCTTATACAACTATGCCAACTATGTAAACACAGTTTTCCATTCTACGGCACCTTTAAGGCCAATATATAGTTCAGGCCACAAGCACTGCACTTTCAGACTAACCAGAATTTTTGGGAAAACCGCGAATCTGGCAACACTGCATGACGGAGAAAGAGCTTGTGAGTGAAACACAACGCGTGTGGAAAACAAGTAGTATTTCTGGTTGCCGTAGCAACCCTGCAGCCTAAAATCCTACTGTTAATGCAGTTTCACTGTAGCAGCTGTTTTCTGTTCTGTGCGGTTACACTGCTTCTTCATCAGCTGCTTTGTCATACAAGTTTTCATAGAAACTACAGGCGATGTCCTATTCTGACGTTATGCCGCTGGCGCAGGACTGCGAAAGGCTACAGCGCTGCGACATCTGTTGACCATACTATTTCTTTGTCGGGCGACTCTATAAATTGGCCTTTAAGGTGCATCCATTGCTGACACTGGCATTCAGTTGTTCACACAGCTTCTATAATCTCCTTAGAAAAGCACTGACAAACAGAAGAGCAGCCGCACAAGTCTAAGGTCACCATGTCCAATGCCAAGCTTCAGATGGAGGGGTATAAAGCCCCCCAGCATGTGAAGCAGCATGTGAAGGAGTGATGGAGCTCTGGTACCTTTGGGATGAGTTGGAGTGATCCAGAATTGATCATCCAACATTAGTTTCTGACCTCATTAATGCTTTTGTGGCTGAATTCAGTCAAATCCTCACAGCAATGTTCCAACATCTAGTGTAAAGCCTTCTGAGAAGAGTAGAGGCTGTTAGTGCAGCAGCGGGAGGACAAAATATTAATACCTTTAAATTCAGATGAGCAGGTGTCTACAAACTTTTGGATGTACAGTGTAGCTCATTATGGGAATTATCTGTTGCGGTTTATCACAAAAACCCAAAATACTGCAGTGTGGCTTTTTCTTTGGTATCATTCAGCCTTAATTCTTGTCCAACACTGCCTGTGACTTCATTGCTGAAGAGTTATAGCTACCATGTTGACTTTACTTAATACTACATCTAGAGTGTTTGACTAGGAGTCAAGAGTTCGTTCAACATCCAGAACAGTCTACACATTAAAAGCATATCAGCCCTCTGGGTAATGAACGTGGCTGAAATGGCCTGTGACAGCTCATTATATCACACTAATCAAGATTAACGTTCTATGAGTAACAGCGTCAGTGCTTATACAGCGTCAAACAAGTGGAGAAGGAGAAACATCTGGTCTCCTGCAATTGTTACTGACTAAGAAATCAACGTAGTGCGTCACCAGGTGGCCTATATTGGGCAAAAAAGGATCAGACCATGTTTTAATCGATATGTTCAAATCATATTTGGCCAAACAAAGTAATGACAGACAAACAGTCAAAGCTCATTATCTTACTCTCTTAAAGGGGTGCTTAAAGGGGAATGACAGTGACTTTTCAAAATGTGAAATGGTTCATTGAGAAACCCACTCAGATGTCTTTACAGTGGTGGTGATAGGAACCAGGGGTCACCATGTCTACAACACAAATATAGCCATTTTATTTACTATCCAAAACCATCAGTGAACCTACACGAGTCTTCTGAGTTTCAATATATAATGTTGATGGTAGTAAAATAGTGTTAAATCTGAAAAAAAGGGTTTTTTTGGTATTATTTTACATTAGAATGCACTTTATACCAGAGTGGGTAATCGGGAGATTCTGATAATGTATAAACTCACACATACAAGCACAAGAACGCTCAGACAAACTATTAATATTTATAAAAAAAAAGTGTATATCTGTAATAATTTAAGGCTAAAACCAGTGGCCTCCAACTCAAGTGGTACAGTCCCAGTTCGCTGATTGTAAAAGTCTTGCACGGTGGATTGAAATTCGGTCAAGCTGAAGTTTCCTGTTCCACCTTAAGTGTTGCAGCAGTTACATTCAGACTCCTGTACTGGTACTAGCGTCTAACTGCTGCACTATTTAAGGTGGAGCCGAAATTTGAATAAAAAACTAACATCAGCCTCAAGAGATTAGCATATAAAATTCAGCATGATGGTGTTAATCTGGCTGGCTGGCACAACAAACAGTGCTTTACAGAGTTCATAACTTTTTTTCGACGTAGCAATTTCCATATATGAAACATGTGAAGATGGATATCAGCAACAAGAACTGCAAAGATCCAAGGTGGCACCGAGAAGACAAAACTGAAAAAGCTGTTTAAGGAGGATGAGGACATATCCGAGCAGGTGGACCAGATTTTAACAGTGATTTCTGATATGTATTTGAAAAGTTAATATGTCTTTCGGTGTCGGTTTTATAGGTCTCTCCCCATTCAAAGAGAGCCTGGTCTTGTATGACTGGGAAATAACTACCTGGCAATGCTGCCAGGATGTGCATTGAGTGGACAGACTTCCGACAAGGACTTTGCTTAACCCCTTAAAATCCCAGTCTTGTTACATACTAACGCTCCTTATTCAGTAACTACAGGGGCTTCAATGCAAAATTCCTATCACCATCTCTAGAACAGAACTTTTCACATCAGACTACTCTGAATGACTTTTACATCTTAGCAATTTAATTACGCAAAAATCCATTAAACTCCCCTTTAAAAAGAACGCATACAATAAACCGAAGGCGCAGAAGTGAACTGTGCAAACGATCAGAACGATTAGGTCCATAGAACACATACAAGATATAAGAAGCGCTAGATTAACATGCTCACACAGAAGATAACACTTCACTGCTCCTGGTGATACGTAGCATCAAATACATTAAACAAATCTTGAATTATTCAGGTATAAAGCTGAGCACATAAAAGGCCTTTAAGTGCACTGTTTGCTGATTTAGGACTATGGGGTGGAAAAGGCACTGCATCCACTAAAGCTAAGTTTAAAAGGCTATCATGTGACACAAGTTAAATCCAAACAGTCGCCTCCTTACACATAATATTTCAACTCAGCTGTTCACGCTGTTATGGGGTTCACAAAGGTGTCTTCAGGGGGATACTATTGTTTTTTTCCAAAGTTCATTAAAATTCAATGATTAAGATGTAAAAAAAAAAAAGTGGTTTAATGAGAAACATGGTGTTTTAGAGAATCTTACCAAATCAGAATGGTTCACAGTGGTGGTGATAGGAACCAGACGTCTGAAGAGTTTAATGCATCTTAACGCTCCTCCACAGAATGTTATTACATGATGAAAGATCTTACATGAATATGCTGTTTTACGGTAGTTTTAGATAAAGTTTTGGACTAAAATATATATTTTTAATTTGCTGATGGTGAAGAGGTACATTCAGGGCCTTATGAGGCAAAACAGACCCCAAAGAAAACATTTTTTTTTCAGATGTAGCACTATTTTACCATCATCAAAAACACACATCGGTTCACTGGTGGTTCTAGATAGTAGGTAAAACGGCTATATTTATGTTGTAGACACTGTGACGTCTGGTTCCTATCACCACCACTGTAAAGAAATCTGAGTCTGTTTCTCTACAATGAAGCATTTCACATCACACCACTCTGAATGACTTTGTTTACATCTCAGCCA